GTCTATGGATGTCTATGGGTTTCAATGTCTATGGATGTCTATGGGTGCTATGGGTGTCTATGGGTGTCTATGGGTGTCTATGGGGTGTCTATGGGTGTCTATGGGTGTCTATGGGTGCTGTGGGTGTCTATGGGTGTCTATGGGTGTCTATGGGTGTCTATGGGTGTCTATGGGGGTCTATGGGGTTCTATTGGTGTCTATTGTTGTCTATGGGTGTCTATGGGTCTCTATGGGTCTCTATGGGTGTCTATGGGGTCTATGGGTGTCTATGGGTGTCTATGGGTCTCTATGGGTGTCTATGGGTGTCTATGGGTGTCTATGGGTGTCTATGGGTGTCTATGGGTGTCTATGGATGTCTATGGGTGTCTATGGATGTCTATGGGTGTCTATGGGTGTCTGTGGGTGTCTATGGGTGTCTATGGATGTCTATGGGTGTCTATGGATGTCTCTGGGTGTCTATGGGTGTCTATGGGTGTCTATGGGTGTCTATGGATGTCTATGGATGTCTATGGATGTCTATGGGTGTCTATGGATGCTATGGGTGTCTATGGGTGTCTATGGATGTCTATGGGTGTCTATGGATGTCTATGGGTGTCTATGGATGTCTATGGGTGTCTATGGGTGTCTATGGGTGTCTATGGGTGTCTATGGATGTCTATGGGTGTCTATGGATGTCTATGGGTGTCTATGGGTGTCTATGGATGTCTATGGGTGTCTATGGGTGTCTATGGGTGCTATGGGTGTCTCTGGGTGCCTATGGGTGCCTATGGGGGCTATGGGTGTCTATGGGGTGCTATGGGTGCTATGGATGTCTATGGGTGTCTATGGCGCGGTGCTCCCGGCGCAGCAACCGGCCATGTTCAACATCTACATCCGCCGCGCCGCCGAGCTCTACGGCGTCACCCACACCCGGCCCATCTACCAGCGAGCCATCGAGGTGGGGGGGAATGGGGGCTATGGGGTCTATGGGGTAATGGGGGTAATGGGGGAATGGGGGTAATGAGGCAATGGGCTGAATGGGGTAATGGGGGTAATGGGGCAATGGGGGTAATGGGGGGTAATGGGGGCAATGGGGTAATGGGGGTAATGGGGGGCAATGGGGGTAATGGGGTAATGGAGGCAATGGGGGAATGGGGGGAATGGGGCAATGGGGGTAATGGGAGTAATGGGGGAATGGGGGGAATGGGGGCAATGGGGGGAGTGGAGCAGTGGGGGGAATGGGGGCAATGGGGGAATGGGGGCAATGGGGTAATGGGGGGGAATGGGGGTCAATGGGGGGTAATGGGGGAATGGGGGAATGGGGGCAATGGGGGGAATGGGGTAATGGGGGTAATGGGGGGAATGGGGTAATGGGGGGAATGGGGGTAATGGGAGTAATGGGGGTAGTGGGAGTAATGGGGCAATGGGGGTAATGGGGGGGGTAACGGGGGGAATAGGGGGAATGGGGGTAATGGGGCAATGGGGGGAATGGGGGAATGGGGGCAATGGGGGGAATGGGGCAATGGGGGGAATGGGGCAATGGGGGTGCTGACCCCCCATGGGTGCTGGGTGCTGACCCCCCTATGGGTGCTGGGTGCTGACCCCCCATGGGTGCCGGGTGCAGGTGCCGGGTGCTGACCCCCCATGGGTGCCGGGTGCTGACCCCCCATGGGTGCTGGGTGCTGACCCCCATGGGTGCTGGGTGCAGGTGCTGGGTGACGACACCCCTATGGGTGCTGACGCCCATGGGTGCCGTGTGCAGTTGCTGGGTGACGACACCCCTATGGGTGCTGACCCCCCATGGGTGCTGGGTGCTGACCCCCATGGGTGCCGGGTGCTGACGCCCATGGGTGCCGGGTGCAGGTGCTGGGTGCTGACGCCCATGGGTGCTGGGTGCTGATACCCCCATGGGTGCCGGGTGCTGACGCCCATGGGTGCCGGGTGCTGACGCCCATGGGTGCCGTGTGCAGGTGCTGGGTGACGACACCCCATGGGTGCTGGGTGCTGACGCCCATGGGTGCCGGGTGCTGACGCCCATGGGTGCCGTGTGCAGGTGCTGGGTGACGACGCGGCGCGGGAGCTGTGCCTGCGCTTTGCGGACATGGAGAGCCGCCTGGGGGAGGTGGATCGGGCCCGCGCCATCTACATCTACTGCTCGCAGCTCTGCGACCCCCGCGTGAGCACCCAGGGGCACCCAGTGGGTGCCGGGGGGGGGGGATCTGGGACCCGGACCCTGCCCTGCGTGCACCCGGGTCCTGTAGCCCTGTGGGCAGTGTCTGTTACGTGGATATCCCGTGTGCATCCCGTGTGTATCCTGTGTATATCCCGTGTGCATCCCGTGTGCATCCTGTGTTCATCCCGTGTTCATCCCATGTTCATCCCGTGTGCATCCTGTGTTCATTCCATGTGCATCCTATGTGCATCCCGTGTGTATCCTGTGTTCATCCCGTGTGTATCCTGTGTGCTTCCTGTGTTCATCCCATGTGCATCCTGTGTTCATTCCATGTGCATCCTATGTGCATCCCGTGTGTATCCTGTGTTCATCCCATGTGCATCCTGTGTTCATCCCATGTGCATCCTGTGTGCATCCCATGTGCATCCTGTGTTCATCCCGTGTGCATCCTGTGTTCATCCCGTGTGCATCCCGTGTTCATCCCGTGTGCATCCCATGTGCATCCTGTGTTCATCCTGTGTGCATCCTGTGTTCATCCCGTGTTCATTCCGTGTGCATCCCGTGTTCATCCCGTGTTCATCCCGTGTGCATCCCGTGTTCATCTCGTGTTCATCCCGTGTGCATCCCGTGTGCATCCTGTGTTCATCCCGTGTGCTTCCCGTGTTCATCCCATGTGCATCCCGTGTTCATCCCGTGTGCATCCTGTGTTCATCCCGTGTGCATCCCATGTTCATCCCATGTTCATCCTGTGTTCATCCCGTGTGCATCCTGTGTTCATCCCGTGTATATCCCTTGTGCATCCCGTGTTCATCCCATGTTCATCCCGTGTGCATCCTGTGTTCATCCCGTGTGCATCCTGTGTTCATCCCATGTGCATCCCGTGTTCATCCCGTGTGCATCCCGTGTTCATCCCGTGTGCATCCTGTGTTCATCCCATGTGCATCCTGTGTGCATCCCGTGTTCATCCCGTGTGCATCCTGTGTTCATCCCGTGTGCTTCCTGTGTTCATCCTGTGTTCATCCCGTGTGCATCCCGTGTGCATCCCGTGTTCATCCCATGTCCATCCCGTGTTTATCCCATGTTTATCCCATGTTCATCCCGTTTTTATCCCATGTTTATCCCGTGTCTATCCCATGTTCATCCCGTGTTTATCCCATGTCTGTCCCATGTTCATCCTGTGTCCATCCTGTGTATATCCCGTGTCCATCCCATGTTTATCCCACATCCATCCCATGTCCATCCCATGTTTACCCCATGTCCACCCCGTGTCCCCCCCACGTCCCCCCCATACTCACCCCATGTTCCCCCCAGCTCCCCCCACAGATCACCCCCACGTCCCCCCATGTTTACCCCATGTCCACCCCATGTTTTCCCCTTTCCCTCCCCACAGATCACCCCCACGTCCCCCCCATGTTTACCCCATGTCCACCCCATGTTTTCCCCTTTCCCTCCCCACAGATCACCCCCATGTCCCCCCCACGTCCCCCCATGCTCACCCCCTATCCCCCCCGTCCCCCCACAGATCACCCCCATATCCCCCCCACATCCCCCCCCATACTCACCCCATATCCCCCCCATGTCCCCCCCATATCCCCCCCACATCCCCCCACACTCACCCCCTATTTCCCCCTCTCCCCCCCCATCTCCCCCCCATCTCCCCCCCATGTTCACCCCCTATTTCCCCCCCTCTCCCCCCCAGATCACCCCCACTTTCTGGCAGACCTGGAAGGACTTTGAGCTTCGCCATGGCAACGAGGACACCATCCGGGAGCTGCTCCGCATCAAGCGCAGCGTCCAGGCCACCTACAACACCCAGGTCAACTTCATGGCCTCCCAGATGCTCAAGGCCTACAGCAACGCCACCGGCACCGGTACGGCACCCTTGGGTGCTAGGGGGTGCGCCATGGGGTGCTATGGGGTGCTATGGGGTGTTTGGGGGTGTTATGGGGTGCTATGGGGTGCTATGGGGTGCTATGGGGTGCTGTGGGGTGCTGTGGGGTGCTATGGGGTGGTATGGGGTGCTATGGGGTGCTAGGGGGTGCTAGGGGGTGCTATGGGGTGCTATGGGGTGCTAGGGGGTGCTATGGGGTGCTATGGGGTGCTATGGGGTGCTATGGGGTGCTGTGGGGTGCTATGGGGTGCTATGGGGTGTATGGGGTGCTGTGGAGTGCTATGGGGTGCTGTGGCGTGCTATGGGGTGCTATGGGTGCTATAGGGGGTGATGCTATGGGGTGCTATGGGGTGCTAGGGGGTGCTATGGGGTGCTATGGGGGTGCTAGGGGGTGTTATGGGGTGCTATGGGGTGCTATGGGGTGCTATGGGGGGCTATGGGGTGCTATGGGGTGCTATGGGGGGTATGGGGTGCTATGGGGTGCTATGGGGGGTATGGGGTGCTATGGGGTGCTATGGGGTGCTATGGGGTGCTATGGGGGCTATGGGGTGCTGTGGGGTGCTATGGGGGGTATGGGGTGCTATGGGGTGCTATAGGGTGCTATGGGGTGCTATGGGATGCTATGGGATGCTATGGGGTGCTATGGGGTACTATGGGGTTTAAGGGATTCTATGGGGTCTATGGGATGCTATGGGGTGCTCTAGGGTCTATGGGATGCTGTGGGGTGCTCTAGGGTCTATGGGATGCTATGGGGTGCTATGGGGTGCTACGGGGTGTTATAGGGTGCTATGGGGTGCTATGGGGTGCTATAGGGTGCTATGGGGTGTTATGGGTGCTATAGGGGTCTATAGGGTGTTATGGGTGCTATAGGGTGCTATGGGGTGCTATGGGGTGCTATGGGGTGCTATGGGGTGCTATGGGGTGCTATGGGCTCTATGGGGTGCTATGGGGTGCTATGGGCTCTATGGGGTGCTATGGGGTGCTATGGGGTGCATTGCGGTGTGCTGTGGGGTGTTATAGGGTGCTATGGAGTGCTATAGGGTGCTATGGGGTGCTATGGGGTGCTATGGGGTGCTATAGGGTGCTATGGGGTGCTATGGGGTGCAGTGGGGTGCTATGGGGTGCTATGGGGTGCTATGGGGTGCTATGGGGTGCTATGGGGTGCTATGGGGTGCTATGGGGTGCTATGGGGATGGGGGGGTATGGGGTGCTATGGGGTGCTATGGGGTGATGGGGGTATTGGGGTTATGGGGGGTATTGGGGTGCTATGGGGTGCTATGGGGGTGCTATGGGGTGCTAGGGGGTGCTATGGGGTGCTATGGGGTGGTATGGGGATGCTAGGGGGTGTTAAGGGGTGCTATGGGATGCTATGGGGTGCTATGGGGTGCTATGGGGTGCTATGGGTGCTATGGGATGCTATGGGTGCTATGGGATGCTATGGGTGCTATGGGGTGCTATGGGGTGCTATGGGTGCTATGGGGTGCTATGGGGTGCTATGGGTGCTATGGGGTGCTATGGGGTGCTATGGGGTGCTATGGGGTGCTATGGGGTGCTATGGGGTGCTATGGGGTGCAATGGGGTGCTATGGGGTGCTATGGGGTGTTATGGGGTGCTATGGGGTGCTATGGGGTGCTATGGGGTGCTATGGGGTGCTATGGGATGCTATGGGGTGCTATGGGTGCTATGGGATGCTATGGGGTGCATTGCAGTGTGCTATGGGGTGCTATGGGGTGCTATGGGGTGCTATGGGGTGCTGTGGGGTGCTATGTGCTATGGGATGCTATGGGGTGCTATGGGGTGCTATGGGGTGCTATGGGGTGCTATGGGGTGCTATGGGGTGCTATGGGGTGCTATTGGGTGCTATGGGGTGCTATGGGGTGCTATGGGGTGCTATGGGGTGGGGGTGCTATGGGGTGCTATGGGGGTGCTATGGGGTGCTATGGTGGTGCTGTGGTGGTGCCATGGGGTGCCATGGGGTGCTATGGGGTGCTATGGTGGTGCCATGGGGTGCTATGGTGGTGCTATGGGGTGCCATGGGGGTGCTATGGGGTGCTATGGGGTACTATGGGGTGCTAGGGGGTGATATGGGGTGATATGGGGTGCTATGGGATGCTATGGGGTGCTATGGGGATGCTATGGGATGCTAGGGGGTGCTATGGGGTGCTATGGGGTGCTATGGGATGCTATGGGGTGCTATGGGGTGCTAGGGGGTGCTATGGGGTGCTAGGGGGTGCTGTGGGGTGCTAGGGGGTGCTATGGGGTGCTATGGGGTGCTATGGGTGCTATGGGGTGCTATGGGGTGCTATGGGTGCTATGGGGTGCTATGGGTGTTATGGGGGTCTATGGGTGCTATGGGGTGCTATGGGGTGCTATGGGTGCTATGGGGTGCTATGGGGTGCTATGGGTGCTATGGGGTGCTATGGGGTGCTATGGGTGCTATGGGGTGCTATGGGGTGCTATGGGGATGCTATGGGGTGCTATGGGGTGCTATGGGGTGCTAGGGGGTGCTATGGGGTGCTATGGGGTGCTATGGGGTGCTATGGGATGCTATGGGGTGCTATGGGGATGCTAGGGGATGCTAGGGGGTGCTATGGGGTGCTATGGGGTGCTATGGGGTGCTATGGTGGTGCTATGGTGGTGCTATGGGGGTGCTATGGGGTGCTATGGGGTGCTATGGGGTGTTATGGGGTGCTAGGGGGTGCTGTGGGGTGCTAGGGGGTGCTATGGGGCAAGAGGAGGAGGGAGAG